ATCACACTGACAGACTACAAGAGTCAGATATAGACTACCAAGTTTACTGATAGACTACAAAAGACTACAAAAGTCAGACTTAGACTACAAAAGCTTGGACTTAGACTACAAAATTAGGGTTACATTAAAAGGTTTTGTAGTGTCCGCTTTTTTAGACTACAAAAGTTTGTAGTGTGTGCCTTTTCATTAGAAAAGTTTGTAGTGTCCGCTTTTCAGACTACAAAAGTTTGTAGTGTCCGCTTTTTCATTAGAAAAGTTTGTAGTGTCTGCTTTTTGAGGCTACAAAAGTTTGTAGTTGACATATAGTTTATAGTGTCCTTGACTCTGTATAGGTTATGGGGATGAGGTTAAAGGATTGACATGATTTTACATATTGCCATTGCTGCAGCATTTACTTTTGACATCATGTACACATTGTCTTTCACATCAAGAAAGGCTATTCTATGCCTTCATATTGATAGCTACTGTCCTATCTCAAACCATACATACTTGTAGGTTTATGGGGAACTGGCTAAAGGATTCACATGACTTTACATATTGATTGCTATTGCCACATCATCAGCTTTTCACATCATGCCCAAGTTCGCTTTCAAGCCAGAAAAAGCCATTCATAGTAATATCTACTGTTCTGTCTCAATACATTGTTAACTTACATCATGACCTGACTTAAGGATACTTCCAGGGACCAATCAGCTCATCCTATTGCCCTGAAAGAGCTGATATCACAGTTGACTAGGTTTGGGACAGGTTAGTAGCTATCAATGTGAAAGCAGACAGACCAGCAACTATCAATGTGAAATCAGAGAATAGCCTGTCCTGATGTGAAAGGCAACTTGGGTATGATGTCAAAAACTAATCATTTGGCAGTAGTAATATGTAAAGCAATTTAATCCTTCAAACCATATCCACATGGACCTAGAACCATGATTTGAGATAGGACAGTAGCTATCAATATGAAGGCATAGAATAGCCTTTCTTGATGTGAAAGACAATGTGTACATGATGTCA